AAGTTTCAAAGGACCACAATTCCTATACTAGAAAACTTTAGATTTTTCACCTGCTTGATAAACATAAATTATGCATTAAAAATTGAGGTACAAAGTTTTGAAATACTTTCTTAAGCTGGTGTGAGTTGTTCATCTTTCAGCGTAAAGTAGTAATCTGAGCTATTTTGTTCCATTGCAATTTGCAACCAGAAGCAACCTTACTCGAGAAATAGACCATTTCCCGATAATAGTCGAATTGCGCCTGGCGGCCATCTTGGCGGCCATATTGGACAAAATCTCCCCATACCAGACTCGCGTACCCAAACTGGGCATCATTGCGCCTGGCGGCCATCTTGCCGGCCATATTGGACAAAATCTCCCCATACCAGACTCGCGTACCCAAACTGGGCATCACCTCTGGGCGCCAAGGAAAACATTTTATGAAGACAACTCCAGCAGACGCTCAGTAATCATCGCCTAAGTGGACCATAAAGTATAACGTTTAACTTCCCACATTATGTTGTGATCAACGCCCACTATTACGGAGTCACATATATCAGCAGGTATGTGGGATTATTTAAGCAACATATTATGTTGGAGACCACGTCCACATGACTGGGAAAGCCACATATATCAACAGGTATGTGGGATTATTTAAGCAACATATTATGTTGGAGACCACGTCCACATGACTGGGAAAGCCACATATATCAACAGGTATGTGGGATTATTTAAGCAACATATTATGTTGGAGACCACGTCCACATGACTGGGAAAGCCACATATATCAACAGGTATGTGGGATCATAAAAAACTTGTATTAAGTCACTAAGAGGATAATACCATTCAATTTATGTTCTCAAAGTTCATGTGAGCTTCAGGTGAAGTAAACCATGAATAACACAGATGGATTACCAGCTTTTCTGTCAGAGGGAGAGAGAGAGAGAGAGAGACAAACAGACAGACAGACAGACAGACAGACAGACAGACAGACAGACAGACAGACAGAAAAAGACAGAGACATGCAGAGAAACAGACTAAGATTTATATTATATATATATATATATATATATATATATATATATATATATATATATATATATATATATATATATATATATATATATATATATATATATATCACTGATGTACAGGTTCCTGAGCCTATTGGGCTCTATCATATCTACATTTAAAACTGTGTATGGAGTCAGCCTCCACCACATCACTGCCTAATGCATTCCATCCGTTAACTACTCTGACACTGAAAAAATTCCTTCTAACGTCCCTGTGGCTCATGTGGGTACTCAGTTTCCACCTGTGTCCCCTTGTTCGCGTACCCCCGTGTGAAACAGTTTATCCTTATCTACCCTGTCAATTTCTCTGAGAATTTTTAGGTAGTGATCATGTCTCCCCCTTATTCTTCTGTCTTCCAGTGTCGTGAGGTGCATGTCACGCAGCCTTTCTTCGTAACTCATGTCTCTTAGTTCTGGGACTAGCTTAGTGGCATACCTCTGAACCTTTTCCAGCTTCGTCTTGTGCTTGACAAGGTAGAGGCTCCATGCTGTGGCCGCATACTCCAGAATTGGTCTTACATATGTGGTGTACAAGGTTCTGAAGGATTCCTTACACAGCTTCCTGAAGGCAGTTCTGATGTTAGCCAGCCTCGCATATGCCGCAGACGTTATTCTTTTTATGTGGGCTTCAGGAGACAGGTTTGGTGTGATATCAACTCCTAGATCCTGTGTGTGTGTGTGTGTGTGTGTGTGTGTGTGTGTGTGTGTGTGTGTGTGTGTGTGTGTGTCACGAATACCAATGAACACCGTCCAGAACAAGAGACAGCGTGGAGGGGATCACTTCCCAAGATAATATTTCATCTTCGTGCTCCAAAATGAAGACAACATCAATTTTTCCTTTATTTCCTCCTCCTCCTCCTCCTCCTCACCATCATCATCATCACCATCATCACCATCATCACCATCATCCCCCCCTCCCTCCCTCCCAGCCCTCCGTCTGGACGGAGGACGGCTTCCAGTGAGAGTCCATATACTTCTAAAGAGTCGCTCTGTCCATAAGCTTCCTTAGTTACGGGAGAGATGTGTTGGCGGTGTTGGTTAGGGACGGGAGGTGGGATGGGTGGGTCCTTCGGGAGGGATGGAAGGGGTGGGAGTGTGGAAGAGAGATGGAGCCCAGAAGATAGTAATGACCTGGAAGCAGGATAACAGGGACCTGGAAACAGAAATCAGGGACCTGGAAGCACCATAACAGGGACCTGGAAGCAGCATAACAGGGACCTGGAAGCACCATAACAGGGACTTGGAAGCACCATAACATGGACCTGGAAGCACCATAACAGGGACTTGGAAGCACCATAACAGGGACCTGGAAGCACCATAACAGGGACCTGGAAGCACCATAACAGGAACCTGGAAGCAGCATAACAGGGACCTGGAAGCAGCATAACAGGGACCTGGAAGCACCATAACAGGGACTTGGAAGCACCATAACAGGGACCTGGAAGCACCATAACAGGGACTTGGAAGCACCATAACAGGGACCTGGAAGCACCATAACAGGGACCTGGAAGCACCATAACAGGAACCTGGAAGCACCATAACAGGGACCTGGAAGCACCATAACAGGAACCTGGAAGCACCATAACAGGGACCTGGAAGCACCATAACAGGGACCTGGAAGCAGCATAACAGGGACCTGGAAGCACCATAACAGGGACCTGGAAGCACCATAACAGGGACCTGGAAGCAACATAACAGGGACCTGGAAGCACCATAACAGGGACCTGGAAGCACCATAACAGGGACTTGGAAGCACCATAACAGGGACTTGGAAGCACCATAACATGGACCTGGAAGCACCATAACAGGGACTTGGAAGCACCATAACAGGGACCTGGAAGCACCATAACAGGGACCTGGAAGCACCATAACAGGAACCTGGAAGCAGCATAACAGGGACCTGGAAGCAGCATAACAGGGACCTGGAAGCACCATAACAGGGACTTGGAAGCACCATAACAGGGACCTGGAAGCACCATAACAGGGACTTGAAGCACCATAACAGGGACCTGGAAGCACCATAACAGGGACCTGGAAGCACCATAACAGGAACCTGGAAGCACCATAACAGGGACCTGGAAGCACCATAACAGGAACCTGGAAGCACCATAACAGGGACCTGGAAGCACCATAACAGGGACCTGGAAGCACCATAACAGGGACCTGGAAGCAGCATAACAGGGACCTGGAAGCACCATAACAGGGACCTGGAAGCACCATAACAGGGACCTGGAAGCAGCATAACAGGGACCTGGAAGCACCATAACAGGGACCTGGAAGCAGCATAACAGGGACCTGGAAGCACCATAACAGGGACCTGGAAGCACCATAACAGGGACCTGGAAGCACCATAACAGGGGCCTGGAAGCACCATAACAGGGACCTGGAAGGACATAGCACCAATGGTTCTGTGTCCAGACCTTAACTACCCAACAATATAACAAAGAAATCATTAAGAAGTCTCTAGGGTCCTGAGCCTTGTATACACACCCCTTAAAACAGACAAGTGTCAGATGTGTACAACAGCCAGATTGATCCATGTGTACAAGAAGGTGGGTGGACAGGAGCATCAGTACTAGAAGCTGCATTTACTAAAATATACTCTACAGAATAATTAATTAATTAATTATTAACTACAATTAAGCTTGTCTCGAAACGTGATTTCGGTGAAGACTGACAGGTAGACCACAGGAAACGGAATAATGGGCAGACTGCATCTTCCGATACTGCCAGAAGGCAGTTGATACAGTTATACACTGAAGGCTCCTATACAAATTCAATAGGATGGAGTTCCTGCAAACGTATGGATAAGGGAGTACCTCTCGGGCAGGAAGCAGCAGGTCACAGTGAGAGGAGTGACGTCACAAAAAATCTAGAGAGAATGACGAATTTTGCAAGAAAACTGTTCCCGGAATTGAAAGGAATGAAAACCAGTGAAAGAAAGAGAAAGAGAAAATGTAATTCCATTACACTGCCTTGCAGGACAAGTAGGAGGGACATGGTCCCGACATAGAAGATCCCAAGTGAATCAATAATATGATCAAAGAAGGAACTAGGCTGTGAAGACGCCATAATGTTGTCAAATAAGAAGAGATAGTGCTAAAACAAATCTCTATTCAACTTCTATTATAAGTACGAGAGTCATTGCATTATGTATCCACCAACTGAAAAGGTGGGGGCCAAGAGCTGAAGCTGGGCCCTGGGAGCTCAGTACACAATCATCACACCCACCTGTGCCTCAACAATCACCATCATGTCTAACCATCACCATCAACACAGTAATATCATTAGGCAGTGATGTGGTGGAGGCTGACTCCATACACAGTTTCAAATGTAGATATGATAGAGCCCAGTAGGCTCAGGAACCTGTACACCAGTTGATTGACGGTTGAGAGGCGGGACCAAAGAGCCAAAGCTCAACCCCCGCAAGCACAATTAGGTGAGTACAATTTGGTGAGTTAAAGTCTGACGCAAAGAAAATGGAGCGAGAAACAATACCAGAAGAAAATGGACTGGGGAGTTATAGCAATGGGGGAGACTAGGGTATTACTAACAAATAATTATGTAAGTATTAATGATTCATAAAAATAATTTATTGTGTTGGGGACAGGCAGCCAGTGTATATATACATATTAAGCTTATTTCGAGGTAATCACGCAACTTATTGGAAGGGATGTAAGGAAGTAATGGTACCTGGTTAGCATTAGTTAACCTGTTAACTAGTTAACAAGTTAACAGGTGGAATGCACTAGAAGAAGTTTGGGAAGCCACCTCCGTCCACAACTTAAGGCCAGATTCGACCAGGAATTCTTGTTATAATAGGTAAGTTATAAGACAACAGGTGGAACAGGTGTATTAGGCGGGGTATAAAGAGCTCACTTCCCCCTAGACACAGATAGGTAAGGACTGATAGGTGAGGACTATTAGGTACACTCCGCCGCCTACGTC